ATTGGACCATGCGATGGATTGTGGGTGTGGGGACAAGATCACTGTGGTGTCATTTCCAGTATTGGGATCCATAGCACGATGCCAACATGTCTGTCTTATTAAATAGGAACCTTAAGGATAGATCTGCCTTGGACTCTGATTTAATTCTGCATGATATTTGGAACGCTGACATAGAACCTCTTCTAGCATGCGAGGGGCAAGATTGTTTATTTCAGAATTGTGTTTCTTCAACAGACTGAAAGGAAAGCCTCTTGGGACAACTGGAAAAAGCACAGACTAGGCCGGAATCAACTGTTTGCATCGAAATGTGAAGCCTTGGAGAAAAAGGCAAGTGATCTTGAGGTGTTTCTGTGTGTGGGAGAATGGAGGAAGGCACCCCTCTAGGTTTCGTTCTTCTTTTTGAACAATTCAAGATCAGATACTATCAAAGCGTGCATTGAGGTTAACTCCCCCTTCCCCTGTGTCTGTTTTCAAGGTGGGTGGGAACCCGAAAGGTGCTTTTTCAGGAGGCAGCTGGACTTTCTGCTTTTTCTTTGAAGGCGTTTTGCTTCTCATCCCAGAAGCTTCTTCAGTTCTGGTGGAGAATGGAGGGATTTATACTCCTTGCAGACAGCTGGTCGTTTGCATTGTTTTTAGAGAGCCGTTGAGTCCACCTGGAGGTTTATCTGTGTCCTCAGGGTCACCTGAGTGATGCAAAAGAGTGTGAAAAAATTCCAGGAAAAAAATGCAGTTTACTGGAGCCAATTGCACTTCAGTTTGAGGTGTAGACAACACAGACTCCTCCCCAAGAGCTTGCACTTGTCTTCAACAGTGAAGGGACCCAGGGCAGAAGACACCTTGCAGCCAAGAAGGCTCTGCATCCATTCTCACTACTCAGGTGACCCTGAGGACACAGATAAACCCCCAAGTGGCCTCCAGGACTCTCTCTAAAAGAATGCAAATGACCAGCTGTCTGCAAGGAATATACCGTATTTTTTAGAGTATAAGACACACTTTTCTCCCCCCCAAAAAGAGGTTGCGTCTTATACACTAAATACAGCATTTTTGGCCTCTTATAACCATGCCACTTTTGCAAAAATGGATGTGCATAGGCTTTGGGAGGCCCCCTGGGGGGATGAAGAGGACAAAAGCAAAAAACGGACAGTTTTTTGCCCATTTTTGTCCCCCCTCCCCAGCCCACAGGAGCACTCTACAAGCCTCCCAAAGCATATGCATGCCCCCTTCTTTTATTTTTTTGTGAAAAATGGGTTTTTCACAAAAATGAGGGTTTTTGCTCTTCCCCCCCCCTCCCAGCCCCCAAGAGCACTTTGCAGGCCTCTCAAACTCTCTGATGCCCTGTTTTTCACAAAAAAACCAAGGCATGCAGAGGGTTTGGGAGGCCTGCAGAGGGCAAAAACTTTTTTTTTAACTTACCTTTTCAAAATCTTGGTGCGTCTTATACTCCGGTGCGTCTTATAGTCCGAAAAATACGGTAAATCCTTCCATTCCTCACCATCCAGTCAGAGCTGAAGAAGCTTCTTGGATGAGAAGTGAAACGTCTTTAAAAAAAAACGAGGAAGTCCAGTTGCCCCTTGAAAAAGCACCTTTAGGACTGAGAACCTCCATGCTTCCCTAAGTCACCCCTTGCTTGATTCTCTTCCCTTTGACATCTCTAGCATCGAGAGATCCTGGATTCAGTAAAAGAGAAAGCTCCTAGAGATTTGTTCTCTCTGAAGAATTTGATCCACCGTCTTCATATTTCGGAGCCAGTTCAGCATGTCATGAGTCTCTTGGAACGGAGGTGAGACGGCCTAGCACATCTGGCACCACATTTGCAGGCCTGGTGTGGCATCTGTCTTTCGGGTTTTCACCAGGGGTGTACAAGTAGCCCTCCACTTACGACCGTTCCCTTGGTGACCGTTCAAAGTTACAATGGCGTTGAAAAAAAAAGAACATTTTTCATGCTTATGGTCGTTTTAGCAATCCCAGAGGTCATGTGATCAAAGCTCGAACTCCTCGCAACTGGTTCATATTTATGACGGTTGCAATGTCCTGGGGTCAACCTTTGTGACCTACTGACAATCATAGTCAATGGGTGTTCTGACCTGGGCTTCCCCAAACCATGAAGCAGATTCCTTGTCCTGACAAAAACCCCTTTTTATTAACTTACTGTGAATTCCTCACATTCACATCCAGTAAAGTCTTTCAAAGGAGGATTTACAGCCACAGACCTTATCTGGCTTGGAGAGCTGACAGGCTGATATCTGCAAAACTTGGCAAGGAGTCTCAGAAGAGTCACTAACCAATTAAGTGAACTAATTGTCTCCTCTTTGGCTCCTCTTTTATTCCCTCTGGGAGGGATCCTTCATCATCCACCTGTGGCCTTACTCCGAAGTCGACCCCTGTTCTTTAGCTGATCCCTTCGTCTGGCAACTCTGCGCATGCGCACACTGGGAACAGGCTCCAGNTGAAGAACGGTTGCAGGAACTGGGTATGTCTAGTTTAATGAAAAGAAGGACAAGAGGAGTCATGATAGCAGTGTTCCAATATCTCAGGGGTTGCCACAAAGAAGAGGGAGTCAAGCTCTTCTCCAAGGCATCAGAGGGTTGAACAAGAAGCAATGGGTGGAAACTAATCAAGGAGAGAAGCAACTTAGTACTAAGGAGAAATTTCCTGACAGAACAATTAATCAGTGGAACAGCTTGCCTCCAGAAGTTGTCAATGCCCCCAAACTGGAAGTCTTTAAGAAGTTGTTGGATAGCCATTTGTCTGAAATGGTATAGGGTTTCCTGCCTAGGCAGAGGGTTGGACTAGAAGACCTCCAAGGTCCCTTCCAACTCTGCTATAGTATTGTATTGTATTGTATTGAGGCCCCCGCCTCCCGTGGGATGGCCCCATCCCACCTCTGCTGGCAGAGGAAGTGTGCTGTTGATCTCATCAGTAAAGGAATTCCGATTGGCCAATTCCAGGGTAAGAACCTTCTCTGCAGTGGCTCCAGTGGTGGGATTAAAAAACAATTACTGCCAGTTCTGTGGCTGTGGCTTGGTGGGCATGGCGTGGCTTGGTGGGTGTGGTAGGGAAAAGATGCTGCAAAATCCTCATTTCCTCCAGATCCGTTGGGACTCGGGAGGCAGAGAATAGATGGGGGCACGGCAGTCAGAGGTGCAGATTCTCCAAACTACTTAAAATTTCTGCTACCGGTTCTCCAGAACTGGTCAGAACCTGCTGAATACCACCTCTGCCATAAAGCCCTTTGTGCCATGGGTCTAGAATACTGGAGGAGCCATCTCGCCCCTGTGGGATGGACCCATCCCACCTGTACTGGCAGTGGAAGCCTGCTGCGTGGTCCCTGCTCTGGGAACATCTTACTGCCCCCGAGATGAGATTGACTCCCACCCTCCTGACATTACGTAAGAGCATGAAGGCCTGGCTTTACCAATAAAGGAGAGTATTTGTAATTCAGGGTTGAAATGAGAGGCCCTTGGTGCTTCCTGAACTTGGTTGTTGCAGGAATTGGGTATATCTAGTCCAGAGGTGTCAAACGTGTGCCGTCACTTGACATATTGTGACTCCCCCCCCCTGCATTAAACCAGGGGTGAGTGTGGAAAGTGGGTGACACGCCTGGCCTGCGGGCTGCGAGTTTGACACCTCTGCTCTAGTCTAACAAAAAGAAGGACTAGGAGTGACACGATAGCAGGGTTCCCATATTTGAAGAGCTGCCACAAAGAAGGAAGAAGGGCAGGGAGGGTTTATCCAATTCTCCAAAACACGCAGAAAAAGAAGCAATGGATGGGAACTAATCAGGGAGAAAAGCAACCTAGAATTAAGGAGAAGTTTCCTGTGATAACAGTCAACTGGTGGAGCGGCTTGTCTTCAGAAATTGTGTGTGAGCTTTTTAAGAAGAGACTGGAGAGCCATTTGTCTGAAATAGCAGGCAGGGTTTCCTGCTTGAGCAGGGGGTTAGACTAAAAAACCTCCAAGGTCCCTTCCAACTCTGTTATTCCATTCATCGTGAATTCACTTGTGCTAATAAAGGCTTATCTAAGCCCCCGTGTCGAATATATCTCTAATAGGATGTCAGGCCTGCATTTATGTTCTTTTTAGAATTTTGGCCTGCCACACTTTTTCTTATTTCATTATGCTGTTTCTTTAGNGGCGGCCTATAAATCTCAATAAAATGAAAAAAATGAAAAGCCAAACTTCCGGGTCCTGGCGTGCATGCGTCGCCAACAGTCAGCTGCCTGGTGCGCATGTGCCCACCGGTTTTCAGCACTGCCACGCACACGAAGGACAGCTGATCGTCACGTGCGCCTACGTGCCAGAAACTCAGAAGACCAACAGGCAAGGCTGTGCGTGCTGGGTGACATGGCTTTGCGTCCCACTTTGGGCATGCGTGCCATAGGTTTGCCATCGCGGCCCTAGTCCATTCTGGCATGCCAGAAACCGGGCTACACAAACAAATGAAGTCCCATCCATGGGGTGCAGGTAATATGCGAAACCAGGCACCCTCCAATCCAAGGAAAATCTTCTCTCCACAGAACCGGTCCCTGGTGCCCAAATGTTTGAGGACTACTGTCCTAAGTCATTTTGTCTAGTTCTGAATTTTTTTTTACACATCCTTATGGACTTGTGCTGGAGCCCATCCTCAGGGAACTTCTCTCTAATAGCCCAAAGCACACAGACTGCTAGAAAGACATTCCCTGAGGATGAGTGTTCTGACCGAGGCTTCCCGAGAGCAGGAAGCAAACTCCTTGTCCCGACACACAAAAAAAACCCTTTTATTAATTTACTGTGAATTCTGTCCATTCACATCCAGCAAAGTCTTTCAAGGGAGGATTTGCAATCACAGACCTTCTCTGGCTTAGAGAAATGACAGGCCAATATCTGCAAAACTTGGCAAGGAGCCTCAGAGAGTCATAAACCAATTAAGCGAACTAATTGTCTCTTGCAAACTCCACTCCCCTTTCGCTCCTCTTTTATTTCCTCTGGGAGGGGCCATTCATCATTCAACTGAGGCCTTACTCCCAAGTCGACTCCTGTTCTTTAGCTGTCCCCTTCGTCTGGCAACTCTGCGCATGTGCACACTGGGAACAGGCTCCAGCTGTTCATCTGCCTCACTGATAACTGTCAGACGACCCTGGCCCCCTCTCTGCCTCCGACACAGAGCCCTCATCAGAGCCTTCCCCAGACTCCAGGACTTGCCCAGGTTCCTCCCTGACCTCCTCACTGTCCTAATCTGATGCCAGCTCCATTGGCCACTGGTGGGCCACAACAATGGGCTCCACATTGATCCACAAAAAGCTCAGAAGACAAAACTTCTGGTCCCAGTCATGGACCCAGATTTGATCTTGCAACATTATCCTGGGCACAAGTATTCGCCTTCATTTTCAATGAATGTCAAAGAAGTCAAAAAAGCTGATCTGGTTTACCAGGTTTACTATGGATAGGAGGACCTATTTTCAAATGAAGAAAGAGAGATCTTCCTTCCGTGTTTCCTTGAGCATCTTTTTCTTTTCTTTCAGACGAGCCCTTCCCGAGTAACCTACAGCTCATCGAAAAAGTCACAAAGCAAATGAAGCTACCAATTAATTTTCTAAAACGCCAAAATCTACGGGGTTGCATGGAGATCCCGCTCATTTTCCAGATGGTAAAGAGGGAGAAGCAGAAGTTGCTTAAATCCAGGTAGGAGGCTGTAGCTAGGACTATCCTTGTCTTCTTGCTTAGCAGAGGTTCTGGAGAAGGAGAATGAAGTATTGGGTGTAGTATTTAGACCGTACGTGATAGCTTAGTAGTTAAGGTGCTGGGCTAGAGTCAGTAGCCCAGGTTCAAGACACGAGCACCACGTGATGGAGTGAGCTGCTGTCCTTGCACCAGCTCTTGACAACCTAGCAGTTTGAAAACATGCAAATGCGAGTAGATAAATAGGTACCACTTCATCGGGAAGTTAACACAGCTCTGTCATGTCATGTTGGCCACACAAACAATTTTGGACATTGCTGGGCCTTGAAACTTAGATGATCACTGCCCCCTAGAGTCTGCAGGGACTCTTTAGACCAGTGGTTACCAACCTGTGGTCCATGAGAACATTTTGGTGGTCCGCAGAAAAAGTATTTGCATTTTTTATATTGCACTAAATCAGGGTCCTCAAACTACGGCTCCTGGGCTGGATACATGCAATGAACATTTGTGTTGCTGCAGAGAATCTCCCCCTTTGCGGTCCTTTTTGTATGGGTCGGGGGGGGGGGAATTCCAACAGGGTCTGCTTCAGCCGCCTGGTGTGGGGCTTTGGGTGAAGGCTGGAGGGAAGTGCCACTGGTACCAAAGAGCTGGAGTGCCTTGTTCCAGTGCGACTACATCATGGCCTGAAACTGTCTGCCCATCTCAGCCTGCTCAGCCTCCAGGCGCCAGTACCTGGCCTTGCACTCCNCCTCTCTGCCTCCGACACAGAGCCCTCATCAGAGCCTTCCCCAGACTCCAGGACTGGCCCATGTCCCTCCCCAACCTCCTCACTGTCCGAATCTGATACCAGTTCTGCTGGCCACTGGTGGGCCACAACAATGGGCTCCACACTGACCCACGAAAACCCTAGCCCCCATTCACCAAACATCTCTATTTGTGCGTTCTCTTCAAATCCACACAATTCATGATTAAATCACACCTGGAATATTGAGCCCAGTTTTGATTGCCACATTATAAAAAAAAAATTGAGGATATCTGGAAAGAGTGCAGAGAAGAGCAACTCAGGTGATTAGGGGACTGGAGAATAAAACATGTGAAGAACGGTTGCAGGAACTGGGCATGGCTAATTAGTGAAAAGAATGACTAGGGAGTGACACAATAGCAGCACTCTAGTATTTGAGGGACTGCCACAAAGAAGATAGGGGTCAGCCTGTTTTCCAAAGCACCAGACAAGAAGCAATGGGTGGAAACTAATCAAGGAGAGAAGCAGACTGGAATTAAGGAGAAACTTCCTAACAGTGAGAATAATCATCAGTGGAAGAGTTTGCCTTCAGAAGTTGTGGGTGCTCCATCACTGGAGGCTTTTAAGAAGAGACTGGACAACCACCTGTCTTGATTAAGGGGCTGGACTAGATGATCTCCAAGGTACCTTCCAGCTGTATTCTGATTGATTGACTAAACAAATGCTTGTAAGTTGAGAACTACTTGTGCCCATTACGTGGCCCATGTAATGTTGACTGTTCTTGTTCCGTGTTTTTCTTTTGTAGTCCTTGAGTTCACAGTCTTTCTCTTTTTTAGGTACCCCCCAGATCTGCCCTCCTTTTCCCGAAGTCGGTTGCCAGGGCCCTGGGATCCGACCCTTGCTGGCACTCGCATGAAACTGGAGGTACCCCAGACTTGGGATCGAGAACTGAGCAACCGTGGGAACAAGGCTGCTGTCTGGGAAGAACTGATTGGTAGGTGGAAGAGTTGACTGCATTCCTTCATTTTCCAATAATTTTCATTATTGGACCCTGAAATCCCAGAAAGGCATGCTGACTAGACAGAATCAGAGTGGAAGCATGGAAAATAAGTGTGAACCCAGATAAAGGCAGTCCTTGAGTTATGACCACTTGTAGAAATGTCTGTGGAGGTTCTTAGTCACCCAGGTCATGGTTGTCCCAAAGGTGCTTTTTCAAGAGGCAACTGGACTTTCTTGTTATTCTTTATTTATATCCCTTGAAATTCCCTATCATCCAGTCAGAGCTGAAGAAGCTTTTTGGATGAGAAGTGAAACGGCTTCAAAGGAAAAACAAGGAAGTCCAGTAAAAGCATCTTTGGGAAGGCCAGCAACCATTCAAAGTTATAATGGAGCTGAAGGAGTGGTTTGTATAACCAATCTTCACAAGAACCCTGGTGGTGCAGTGGTTAGACTGAACTATTTCATGTTAACTCTGCCCGCTGCCTGGAGTTCAGTCTTGATGGGGCTCACGGTTAATTCAGTCTTCCATCCTTCCGAGGTTGGTAAAATGAGGACCCAGATTTTTTTCGGGGGGCAGTATGCTGTTTCTATAGGGATGCAGTGGCTCAGTGCTAAGACGCTGAGCTTGTCGATCATAAAGGTTTGGCAGTTTGGCAGTTCGAATCCCTAGTGCTGTGTAATTGAGTGAGTTCCCGTTATTTGTCCCAGCCTCTGCCAACCTAGTAGTTCGAAAGCATGTAAAAATGCAAGTAGAAAAATAGGGACCACCTTTGGTGGGAAGGTAACAGCATTCTGTGTGCCCTCGGCACTTAGTCATGCTGACTACATGACCACGGAAAGGTCTTTGGACAGCGCTGGCTCTTTGCATTTAACAAGTGCAGCAATTCGCTTAACAAATGTGGCGAGAAAAGTCGTAAAGAGGGGGAAGACTCGCTAAACAAATTTCTCACTTGGCAACATAAATTTTGGGCTCGATTGTGGTCGTAAGTCAAGGACGACCTGTAATCCCTGTGATTACTAAGAGTTAAAGCTGACTTGATGAGAAAAGATCACAGGGAATTGGGGAGATGTTATAGGTAGAAAAAGTTTGGAATCGTTTACAAACAAATAATTGCAGGAGTATGATACTTGTATTTATATTACATTAGACTATATTTTACTCTCTCATGCATTGCATAATGGGACTTACCATACAATATGCTACACTGCAAATTGTATTTATTAATGCTTACATAATCACACTTAATCTTATACAATTCTGAGGTATGCCTTTTACATACACTTAACGTATATGTATGTGTATTGAAGTGTTAATACACTTCTGCATTAAGTAGCAAGGTTAAACAAAGAATGTAATAATATATCATGGTAACAACAATGTAAAGATGAACAACGTAATTAAAATTCTTTCCTTTAAATGGAAATCATCTAAACTGCAAGTGGGAAGTAGGATTAAATCAAAACCAGAGGAGGTGTAATAGAAATAGATGATGCTAATTTTTTTACAAAATATAAGCAGCAAAATATTAACTATTAACATGGAGGGATGTGGTGGCTCAGTGGCTAAGATGCTGAGCTTGTTGATCAGAATGTCGGCAGTTCAGTGGTTTGAATCCCTAGTGCCCCATAACAGAGGGAGCTCCTGTTACTTGTCCCAGCTTCTACCAACCTAGCAGTTTGAAAGCATGTAAAAAGTGCAAGTAGAAAAATATTGGTACCACTTTGGTGGGAAGATAACAGCACTCCTTGTGTTTTCGGCATTTACTCATGCCGGCCACATGATCATGGAGACGTCTTCGGACAGCGCTGGCTCTTTGGCTTTGAAACGGAGATGAGCACCGCCCCCTAGATCTGGAAACGACTAGCACGCATGTGCCTTTACCTATTAACATGATAAAGGTTACTCCGTCCTCCTACCTCCCAAGTCTGAATATATGTATGGAAAGAAAAGAAATAAAACTGGGTAAAATTCTCATATCTTCACTCATATTTTTTTTTAAAAAAATACCAGTCTAAAATATTATTTCTGCTTGCTGAGTTTCAGCTGTATAATTACCATTTACTTGCTGCCCCCTAGATTCAAAGAAACTGCCCTTCATGGCAATGCTACGAAACCTGCGGAACATTTTGAGGTCTGGGGTGAGCGAGAGGCATCATCAACTTCTCTTAAGGCGCCTTGAGGACAAGGTAAGGCTATCCGTGCAGGAGAAATTTTCTGAAAGTGAAAACAATCAACCCATGGAACAGCTAAGCTTGCCTTGGGAAGTTGTGGGAGCTTCATCACTGGAGGCTTTCAAGAAGAGATTGGACTGCCATTTGTCAGAAATGGGGTAGGGTCTCCTACTTGGGCAGGGGGTTGGACTAGATGACTTAAGAGGCTCCTTGCAACTCTGTTAATCTGAATCTGAGTCCTCAATTTACATTTGTCTATTGACTTTTTGAAGTGACAATGGCACCCCCACCAAAAACCACACTTAACCACCATTGTAGCATTCCTGTAATCACGTGATCAAAATTTGGATGATTGACCACTGGCATGTATTTATGACGGTTTCCCAGGGTCATCTGATCACCTTTTGGGACCTTCTGATGAACAAAGTCAACAGGGAAGCCAGGTTCACTTAACAACAGCGTTACTAATTTAACAACCACGGTGATTCACTTCCTGTGGCAAGAAAGGTCGTAAAATGGGGCAAAATTCAGGAAGAAGCTTCTTGAAGCAGGAGACGCTTCTTGGATGGGAAGTGAAATGTTTTCAAATTAAAAAAAAAAGCAAGAAAGTGCAATTGCCTTTTAGAAAAAAAAAAACCATTTTGGGGACATTTATGTCCCAAAATCCTCTGATTACCCACCATGATGGGCTTCTCACTGGATGGATTTTGCATAAACATGATAGGCAGTTGAGCTACTTGTGGGTTAAGGAGTTAAGCCAGGGGTAGTCAACCTTTTTATACCTACCGCCCACTTTTGTATCTCTGTTAGTAGTAAAATTTTCTAACCGCCCACCGGTTCCACAATAATGGTGATTTTATGAAAAGCTAATGAAAATGTTTTGGAATAATGCTATGATTTTTTAAAGTCAATTAAATTTAAAAAGTGCTTTAGTATCAGACAAAACCCCTACCGCCCACCATGAAAGCTGGAACGCCCACTAGTGGGCGGTAGGGACCAGGTTGACTACCACTGGGTTAAGCTATTATCTAAGCATTTTGCATTGAAGCAAGCAATCCCATCAAACCATAATAACGCAAGCACACTAGCT